CGGCGGTATTTCCGAACCGATACGTTCTTCAAACCTTCAAGAAAAGAGCGTATTCCTTTTTAAAAGGCCGACAAAGCACCTGTGACTCCTCTGGTGTTGTGGGTGTCCATGAGCGGCGCTGATTGCTTACCATCAGGTGATCCGTCTGCTCGTTTACCTCCTACTCCATAAAAAAATCAAGTATAAGAACTTCAAATCACAAAACTTATATTTTAAACCCAAAAATTACTAGTACAATTAGCACAGTATCAACTTAATACGAGAAAGTCATCCAATGTTCCTTAATGAAACTACAGTGGGTAAGCAGAAACAGTCGTTTTTACACCTTAGCTTTAAGAATAATGTCCCAATAAGCCAAAAATTTCTCTTTTATATATGTGCTTCATTCATTTTTGTACGTCTTACTTAACCAACTGGGTTGGTTTAGTGTAGACATATTATCCGTAAGGCAAAGTAGATAGTGCCTAGGGCGCCAGCAGCTGTAGCCAAATGCCATTTAGCGCTTGTCTACATGTAGAATAGGAAACCAAATTATATGGGATTGACGTAAATTTTGACACTTGTCAGTGTCATCTCCATACGTTTAGTTTTCTACTCTCTCTGTAGACAAGCGCTAAAATGGCGTTTGGTTAAAGGCACAGGCTATACAGGGACGCCGTGAGACGCGCGGGCCCTACGGCCAATTTTTTTTTTTTTAAGGGGGGAAAATCATCAAATGACTGCTCCCGCCTGGGTGAGGCGGGAGGGAGTGTCAGACTCTTACTGACTAAAAACCACCCCGTTCCTTCTCCTGCACGTCGAGCCGGAGCCCCGGTTACCCGTTAGGTTCTCCGCGACAAGCCCTACGGCCAATAGAGGCACGCCGGCGACAAAAATATTTATGGCGTCCATCAAGTGCTCGCCTAGGGCGTCTCTGGGCTTATTCCGCCCTGTCTGCCTATACGGCAAGTTAATACTATAACAAATCAAACAGTGTTTGGTAGCTAAAAATATATATTTTGATCAAATCAAAAATAAAAAACATCAGTTTCTATTTTTTTTTTCGTCTTCATAAAAAAGCAAAAGAAACTGAAAGCAAAATTTGTCAAAAATGTATGAAGCACAACGCTCCGCCCCTTTTGGATACTAGGGTATGTTTTTTCGTAATCAGGTTTTAAATTTATGTAAAATCAGAAATTGTATATTTTTTAACATATTATTATTCGAATATTCGTACATAAATGTTTTTTAATGAAATTTTTTAACGCATTTACTTGTTGGCATTTAGAAATGTATTTTTTTTAAGTAAGGCGTTTTTCTTTTATTATTTTTTTTTTATTTTTTCGCACATATGTATGTGTTATAGAGCTTTTTCACGAAAATTAATGAGAAATTTTATAACTTTTGCAAGTTTATGTACGATATTTTTTATTTAGTCTCCACAAAAATGTAATTTTGCATTTAATAAAATGTAATAAATTAAAAACTGTTGTATTAGTCTTTGTATGTATTTTGCATAATTTAATATTTTAAAGTTAATAAAAAATATTTAAATCTATGTTGGTTTTAGTGTTTTATTTTTTTGTCTCCCTCATATTGTATTTTTTTCTCGGTTTAAACCTATTTGAGGGGGGAAAGTCATCCAATGTCTTCTCCCGCCCTGGATGAGGCGAGAGAGAGTGTCTGACTCTTACTGACTAAACATCACCTCTCTACGAGCTACGCTATATGTACGGTCAAAGGTCAAAAGTCCACTGCCACCGTAAGACTACTATCGGTTGCGCTGCAGCGCTTATATAAACACGCTCACGCATATTTGTATCCGTGTGCGTACGCGTGCTTGTGTTTATGCGTACGCATGCGTGTTTATGCACATTAATATGAAATTACTTGCGCATTGCCGTGTGAACATCACGAACTCTCCGTGGCAGTGGACTTTTGACCTTTGACTGTACATACATTGGCTTTTGTCGTCATACGTGCGAATAATTAAATCACCGTGATCAATATTTCTGGACATTGTAAACTTATTAATTAATTAGCTACTACCGCGCGGTTTCACACGCTCTGCTCTGCTCCTATTGACCGTAGCGTGATGTTTTATAGCCTATAGCCATCCTCGTTAATGCTCTATCCAACACGAAAAGAATTATTCAAATCAGACTTGTAGTTACGGAGATTAGCGCGTTCAAACAAACAAACAAAAAAACTCTTCCGCTTTATACCTCTATAATAGTGTAAGATTAAATACAGTAGCAAAAAAACTATCTAAGAGATTGGTCTCCTTTTTTTTAAGTGGTGAAAATCATCGAATGTTGTCTCCTGCTTGGGTGAGGCGAGTGTCAGACTCTTACTGACTAAAAACCACCCCGTTCCTTCTCCTGCACGTCGAGCCGGAGCCCCGGTTACCCGTTAGGTTCTCCGCGACTAAGTACTCTTTTAACATAAACAACAATGTTGAACATTTCAACATAAACTAACCAACAACACTGTAGGGGCTTACAAACCCTACGTCCAACGTTCTTACTCGTGCTTCGAGCTGGAGCGACACTCCGTCTCGGTTCGAACCCGACTTTAATTTGCAAATTATCTAAATAGATAAAACCTGTTGAGTGGACTCGTAACTCTTCTAGGGTTCCGAGTGTCCATGGGCGGCGCCAATCGCTTACCAAACATCAGGTGATCCGTCTGCTCGTTTGCCTCTTATTCCATAAACATAAATGGTTTAATTTGATAGTAGATAGATTTATAGACTATTTAGGTCTGAATAAACATTAAAGACAATATAAATTCTCTCATTGATGGAACTTTGGAGACCTAACTAGTAACACTGTCAAGCAAATCCATCTGAAAATCAGCGTTGGGCATGTACGCTTAAATTAATGCTGAGATGGAGGCCCTTTTAGCAAGGGCACGCACCGTTAAATGTTATTTATTTATTTATATCTTGTTTTTTATTAATTATTTATTTTCTTTTTAATTTTGTATTTTTTTTTGGTATCTGTGTGCGTGCCTACTGTCGAATAAATGATTTACTTTCTTTCTTTCTTTCAAATCTTGGCTATTGGTTTCGACACCGGTACGATTCGATATAAAGTGTAGCAGAGCCATGCTTCGGCACGAATGGGCCGGCTCGACTAGAGTGATACCACGGCCGAGCAGAAGACCGACGTGAAACACGCTTGAGTTGTGTTTCGCGCTGTGAGTGAGTTTACTGAAGGCCCAATTACCCCCTTCCCTAGTCTCCCCAATGCCCGAATCCCCCACAATCTTCAAATTCCCAATACCCAAAAGGTCGGTTACGAACTTGTAACGCCTGGGGTGTTTCAGGCTTAATTCATTCTGTCTCCTACAGTAATTCACCGAGGGAAGTGGAAACTATCTTCTGATTTATTTCGTTGCGGGAACCAAGACAGTTATTAATGTCCCTGGGACGCGCCGGACTTCAGTGTTCCGGTGTTTTCATGGTTGCATCTACTGTAGATTCTGGTGCTGGTGCACAGGAGTTGCAGCGGTTTTGGGAGATTGTGGCGCGCTTGTCCCAATAACCATACCATGGGACTAAAGCATACATTTTTTTAAATATTATTTTGTCCAAAAACTATCAATATTTTATATTCCAAATAAATTGGAGAAAAAAGGTGATTGCCATCATCATATACTGAAAGATATCCACTGCTTAAAAAATTTATTAAAAATCTCTTATGAAGCAGGGTTCATATTAATCCCCAAGCTTGTGAATTTGCTTGGGGATTGCAGGTAAGTCATCTACAGGGCTACCTACAGTTTGCAGCTATATTTAACCTTTATTAAGGGACAGGCCGGCAAACTAGCAAAGGGATCACTTGATGGTAAGCGATCGGTGTCGCCCATGCGCGGGTGCGGGAGCGCGGTGGAACACCAGAGGCGTTATAAGAGCGTTCCTGGGGGATCCCTTTTGGGGATTGGGCATTTGAGGATTGTTGATGATTCAGAGATTGTTGAAATCGAGACGGAGGGGGGGGGGGTGATTGTGCCTACGGTAACTCACAGAAAACATGACGAAAACACAATGCAAGCATTGTTTCACAATGGTTTTCTGCTCGGCCGTCGCCGTCACTCCGGTCGAGCCGGCCCATTCGTTGCACCTGCAGCCTGCCGGGCATTTTAGATTTTCTTGACTTCAATTTTAAATTTGAAGTTCTTGTACCCCGTTCTATGTTAAATTTCGCGCCTATATGTTGAACGTGTGATTCTGGGGTCGGAGCTAAATGACAAAAAACTAGCTAGTAATATCTTGTCGTCCTATTCATAAAGTATGTACATTACATACATCGTCACATTTGATTTACGTTTCATTTACGACCTAATAACTTCTAGCTGGCTTCTTTAACCGACTCCAAAAGAAGAACCTCATTCTTTTGAAGTCGGTTTAAAAATACTTCTCAGTTTGACTTGTATGGATGTATTAACTGGATTTTTGTGTTACATTGTTCTCGCACATTTGAACCAACAAATCTGTGGAATTAAAAATTTTATTGTGGACCTGATTGAAGAAGAGTAACCTATGGAGTTTCTTGCTCGTTCTTCTACATAGGAATCTACACCTTAGTATAAGCAAATAGATTCACTTTTAAATTATTGTTGACGTTCAAAAGTGGCTTCCTGTGGGCTCACTCTTGAATCCAATTCCGATCAATCGACATTGATATTGGGGAATTTTCGTAGTCTTTTAGTTCCAACACTAGCGCCCATTGCATGCGTATTGCGTGGGTATTTAATGAACTAAATGGTATTGAGTTTGTCTTTATATTCCGTACTCTGAATGCTATTGTAACAGCTACGATTGTGGTTGTATAGTGTTGACATTGAATATTTTTTTAAATTGAGATTTTATTGGATTGCCATTGCATTGACATTGAGATTGCTTTCAAAAGTAAGCACCCTGGCAACGGTCTGGTCTAATTGAAATAAATGGTTTTGCACTTTGGCTTTTGACTTCATAAAACTGCCTCGTTATCAATTACGTTGTTTTGTTCCAGGTCAAGTTGGACCCCAAGGAGCAATGGTGAGATATTATCTTTCATTTTGACTGCACGGTTGATGCGGTGTCAACCGGCTGCCGTGCAACGTGTCGCGGGTTCGATTCCCGCACGGAACAACACTTTGTGTGATCCACAAATTGTTGTTCCGGGTCTGGGTGTCACTGTGTATGTGAACTTGTATGTTTGTAAACGCACCCACGACACAGGAGAAAATCCTAATGTGGGGCAATGTTTTTTTTTTAATTGCAGTGTGTATATGAAGTGGAATCTTGCAACTGAACTGTGAAGCAGATATCTTCAACCGATTGAACTGAAATATTGTACACATGTTTAGTCTGCATGACAATAAATGATGTTCAATTCTAATTATGTAAAGCTTGATCTACGAATAGGTGTACCTCATTTTTTCAGTATGGCGGTCAACCACAGCCACAGTTAGTTCAAGGCCAACAGCGGGGTGGTGTGGGCACGGGGGCAGCGGTGGGCATGGGGGCCGCCGCCCTCGCCGCGGGGGGAATAGCGGGGTACGCCATGGGAGGTGGATTCAGCAACGCTAGTCCTCCACCAGCGGTAAGTTGTCGTCTATATAAAATAAGGTGATGTAAGTTAGGAAAAAGGAGTATCCTCCGACTAGGCGAGGACCACGCCTGGCGGGTTACGATTTATGACCATTATGCACGATTGGCGCAGTGTCAGCACACAAATAATCTGTGGCGACACTTGTCACAAATCAACGGATGACGTCATAAAATCCTACATCGTACATGCGAAGTTTACAATCGAATTAACACGAGTAGAAAATCCCAGCGAACAACTGTTGGGCAGAAAGCCCGCCAGGCACGATCACCTCGCCTGGGTGCTTTCTCTTGAAACCAATCTCAATGTCAATGCAATTTAAATCCAATAAAATCTCAATAATTATCCAATTTCAAAACTATACAACCCCTATCGTAACTGCTAAAGTAGCATTTAGAGTACGGAATATAAAACCAAACTTAATACCATTTACTTAGTTCATGAAATATCCACGCAAATGCAAACGGTCCTATTGTTACAACTCAAGAGTACGAAATTTCACAATACCAATGTCGATCGATCGGAATTGGATTCAAGAGTAAGCACCCTGGTCGGAGGATCCTCCTTTTCCGATCTTAAGGAACTATACTCTCTGTTCCCTAAAAATCCTTACGCTATGGACTCACGACGTGATTTTCAACCGCTGAATGGAGATTTATTTTGAAAACTCATGAGTCCTCGGCGGCTACAGGACCGGTCGCGCTCGTTGGTGTAGCGGGAGCCGCAAACAATTGCAACCGCCGCAGGCGTAAAACGCGCCGTGAAATGTGCTTAAATTTTTACATAAATATCTGTATTGTACAAAGGCTGCGGACCCGCATCCGCGGTGGACGCGGGAGAGAGAAAAACGCTTCGTGACTCCTTAGCCTCAGTGTGATGTCGCGGAGAACCTAACGGGTAACCGGGGCTCCGGCTCGACGTGCAGGAGTAGGAACGGGGTGGTTTTTAGTCAGTAAGAGTCTGACACTCCCTCCCGCCTCACCCAGGCGGGAGCAGTCATTCGATGATTTTTCCCCCTTAAAAAAAAGCCAGCCTCAGTGTGATTCACAAAGCCTCGGTGTTGATCCGTGTCTGTGAAGTTATATTTTTCTTTTTCCTTCCAGCAGCTGTAGCCAAATGCCATTTAGCGCTTGTCTACATGTAGAATAGAAAACCAAATTATATGGAATTGACGTAAATTTTGACACTTGTCAGTGTCATCCCCATACATTTTGATATTATTTCTACTCTCTCTGTAGACAAGCGCTAAAGTGGCGTTTGGTTAAAGGCCCTGATGCAACAGAAATATTACTCACTAACACCATCCCTATTCCGTCCTAACCCTCTCCCTCCTTAACCTCTAGGGCCAGCCCCCACCACAAGCGCCCCCTGATGCAGGCCAGCAACAACAATATGAAGAAACTTACGGAGATATGGACGACTATGCAGGGGGCTTTGACGATGACGGAGGCGATTAATCATAGTTGTATACTATATACGGAATAATCGGTAAAACATAATGTTTTAGTCGATTATAAGTAGTAGTAGCCGAGCAATGGGGTATCGGGTTCGATTCCCGCGTCTGGCAAAGTATTACTGGGTTTTTTTAACAATTCTCAGTAGTAGCACGGAGTCTGGGACCGTGCCCGGTATATTGCAATAGGCTCACCCCCTATTACATGGGACTCATAACATAAATAGTGAAAAGTGGGTGTTACATTGTACAGTGGCATTAAGTGCCGTAATGTGCATCTCTGCCTACACATGTCTATAAATTAGGCGTGATTATACGTATAGATTATCAAGTAGTGGAAAATATTTGTTTTTATAGGTAGAAGATAATTTATTCGATAGCTAAAATGTGAGTTATTCACGTAAATATACTGAGAAAAGTTCTGCTAGTTGTCTACAGTTGTCAGTAGGCTACGCGACATCGCCGCGACGGCGCACGCTGCTCACAAGTCCCTTATGACTCAAAATTATTTATTTATATTTATTAAACTTTATTGCACATACAGTGAAATTGGCGGACTTAATGCCGTAGGCATTATCTGACAGTCGACCATTGGGTGGTGCAGAATGTTAAAGCGGTAGGTGCAAAATTATAGAAAAGAAAGTATGAAGTAGATAACAAAGTTGAGGTAATAAAATATTAAAGAAGGAAGACATGATTGTCATAATCGATAAGACATAACTAAGAACATAGGTACTTAAAATATTAGTAGAGATTTTCTCAGTATACTTATTTGAGTAACTCGTAATTTTTAATTAGGTACTTAAGTATATCACACGATAGTTATTACAACTTGCCAGGCTTCGAACTCACACCCTCATGTAGCCTAGCTTGAATAGCGGGCACATGTCAATGCAATTTCAATCCAATAAAATCTCAATAATTATTCAATGTCAACACTATACAACCACAATCGCAGCTGTTACAATAACATTCAGAGTACGGAATATAAAGACAAACTCAATACCATTTAGTTCATTCAATATCCACTCAATACGGATGCAATGAGCGCTAGTGTGACTCAAGACTATGACGTTTCACAATACCAATGTCGATCGATAGGAATTGGATTCAAGAGTAAGCCTTCAGGAAGGAACTTTTGAATGTTGAACGATAAATTTACGGTCCAGTCTGTCGGTCAGTCCTCTAGTTTCTCTATTTTTTCGGTCCAAATTATACATTGCTATGTAGAAGAACGAGCAAGAAACTCCATCTTCAACAGCCTACAAATGCCCACTGCTGAGCAAAGCCTCTTCTCACCCGGAGAAGGTTTGAGCGTTTGTGCTTTTACTTACAAAAGAATTCTTCGAAGAAAAATATAACACCACAATTAAATGTTAGAACCTACCCCATACAAACATAATCCCTCACATACAATATACATTTTAAGAATACCCACTTACATTTTGCACTAACCCACTAATAATATTATATACCTTAAGTACTTACCTATATTCCGAACAAATCAATAAATATTAAAAAAAAAATGTTAACCAAAATGTAATTTATGATAAGGTAGTGACACCCCTAAAATTTGCAACGCCTGAAAAAGGCCGTTAAGCTGTGCCTGTTATTTCATAAGATGTATTACCTTAACATGGAAATAAAGACTTTGAGTTTGAGTTGAGTTTAATCACCACGCTTGCTCAATGCGGGTTGGTGATTTCAAACTTATAATTAGAAATTAAAGGCCCAGATTTCCTCACGATGTTTTCCTTCGCCGTCTGTCAGTGGTGTCTGAATAATCTTAGAAAGCACATATAACTCAGAAAAAGTCACATTGGTACTTGCTGTTGGTAGGTTTCGAACCCGCATCCTCATGCATGAGAAGTGTCAGGGCCACCACGACATTTTTAAAAAACTCCATAGTTTACTCTTTTACAATCAGTTTCATAATTCAATTCTTTGTTGATTTTCAGGTGGAGACGGCGTCATTTTCAGAATCCATCGACTTTGGTGGAGACGACTGGATGGATTGAGGCAGATAGCTGTAGTAGCATTAGTTAGTACCATTCTAGTGCCAGGGAGAAGTCATTGGATGATTTCCCCCCCTCAAAAAAGGGCGCTAATATGGAACTAACAGTTTTCAGAGTAGGGCGACTGAGTGGCAGGTAGGTCGAAATTTGAGTCTAATAGCACTTACGCGGCGCAGTTTATCTTACAAATCTCTATTCACAGAAACGGCTAAACCAATTTTAGTGAAACTTGATACATACTTATTCAACAACTAAATAGATAATCGATAACATTTTCCAAATAGTTTTTAAGCTTATTACGAAACTGTCATTTTTCCAAGGGCAGTAATAAAAGTTCCGACACTACAAGATGATTTGTCCTTACTCAACATATTAAATCTACTGCCTAAAATACTAACTTTCCGACTATTTTTATCCGAATAAAAATGACGAAAAGACTGAATGAGATACTGAAATATTCGAGAAATAAACATGAGTGCTTACTGCTATAATACTCTTCTACCAGCGTAAATTACGTTTTACTAAAAACTATACTCTGTCTAACCTAAAACGTCTGTTGTCGGTAACTTAGTAATATTGTCGGAGGTTCAATATTCTATTCGGAAGTTTAGTTTTGTTATTCGAAGATCCATAAAGTCAGCCACAGATCGCTGTAGATTAATTTGTTTTTCGGGACCATTATTATCTCCCATTTTTACAAACAACCCCAAAACCGTCACTAACTAAAAGTTACATAGCGTGACCTAAAATTACCCCTTACTTGTACAGTTAGGTGTCACTATAGGTTGGTGATATCCAAAATATAGTCATACGTGTACCTTAGCTTGCACCCGCAAGTTCATTGAAATTTAGGAGGGTTTAATGAAAACTGATCTTAAAGTCTCACTAATCTTATTTTTCTGAGACCTACCTAAACTTAGTCGCCCACAAACAGAATTAATATCAGTAATAATTATATAAAATACGAATCGATCGAGATCGACGACAATCGAGCGTCATCGACAGCAATCGATCGGCATCGACAACACTCGATTGTTATCGACAGCAATCGATCGACATCGACAACACTCGAATGTCATCGACAGCAATCGATCGATTGGTCTGGTAAAAACGATCAATTGACGTCGAATTTTCGAAAATTTCTACTGTCGATCTATGGCATCAATCGACGATCGATTGATTGGGTTGGTGACGCCCTTAAATTTACTGTTTAGCTTGAATCTGCCTATATGTATGTATATATGTCTCGAATTTTATCTCGAAATCACTAAATGTCGCCTTAAATACTTAGATTTAATGAATAAACTTTATTGTTATTTGATAAGAAGGCAAACGAGCAGACGTATCACCTGATGGTAAGCAATCGGCGCCGCCCATGGACATCTGGAACACCAGTGTTACAAGTGCGTTACCGGCCTTTTGGGGATTGGGTGGCAATGATTGATTACCAACAGGTGATCCGTCTACTCGTTTAAAAAAGTTTCAACTTGATTCTTAGTAGTCTAGTTTGACTAGTAAAGTGCATTCAGCTTCCCTATTACATGGGACTCATATCATAACAGAGGGCCTAGTGCAAGTTTGTTTTTCATATGAAGTAATCGAATCGAGACAGCGTTCGACACTAATTGGCCGGCTCCAATGAACCATCCAATCAGCACCGATCGCAGTTTGTTTTTTTATGTTTGATGGGCCGACGTTTGACCACTATCTCGCCTGGTAGAGAGAGTACAAGTGTTGATTCGGTCTACGATGAAGCACGTCGTCCCATAAGCAATCTATTCACTCGGATCTTGAAGACAACCCAGGTACCTTTCAGAAAATATAGACTCTGGCAAAGAATTCCACTCCTTAGCAGTACGCACAAGGAAGCTTGATGCGAAGCGCTTCGTGCGTGTGGGTGGGGACATTTACCATGAATCGGTGACGCTTCGCCGACATAAAAAAAAGTATCGCGGTCTTGTTTTGATTACTTACTCATACTAAGCCCACTTTTTTTTTTTAAGGGGGGAAAATCATCGAAAGAGGAGCCATCTTGTGTTACATTGTATGTGTGCATCTCTGTCTACCCCTTTGCATATTAAAACACTTGCGCTGTACATCAATTTAAACTTATGTTTGCCATACATAAGTTATAAATGCTACAGTCCATCGGAAAGGCCCACCTGTGCAGATACACCTGTGCAGGTAGACCGTAATATGTGTGTGACCTGTGCAGGTTTTTGAAGCCACCGGCACAGAATCAAAAATCAATTTATTTTGGTGGCATCGTACGCCATCGCAAAAAAAAACTGAAGATCGCTTCGTACACCGGAACGTGAATAGACGTCATCGGAAGCTCACCTGTGCAGACATATCTGTGCAGGTAGGCCGCAATATGTGTGGGAATGAACCTGTGCAGTTTTTTAAGGCGACCGGCACAGAATCGAAAATCAATTATTTCTAGTGACATCGTACGTTATCGCAAAAAGAACTGAAGACCAGTCCGGTACACCGGATCGTTCCTATAGACGCTACCAAAGTTCGGTCTACCTGCGCAGGTATACCTGGTGTCTTCAAGTCCCGAGTAAACAGGTTGCTCATAGGTAGACGTGCTCCATCGTCGGCCACTCAAAATTCAAATTCAAAAGCATTTAAGTCTGTCTACCCCTTTGGGGAATGAAAAGGTATTATGAATGTAAGCTTTAAAGAGAAGTATTAATAAAATTATGTCTGTCTGAGAATCTACAATATTTGTTCAGTATTATATTAACCTATTATTTTTAATATATGATGTTAAAAGGCTGACGGGCAGAATGTTCCAACCGACCAATGACGACCAGACGTTAGAATGTACGTCGTTAGAAAGCTCTTATGATGACTATCATTTGTTATTACGGGGGCTAGTCTCAATAGGGTAGTTTCCTATATTTTATTTTAATGTCCGTCTGGTACATTAATTTAAAACTTTAGACACGTATTTTTTCTTTTCTCACAAAATTAAATACTTTCGACGATATATTGATTTGAAATATCGTATGACGTCACAGTGTGCCACATTTTGTAGCACGTTATGACGTAACGACCCCTCCTAAACTTAGCGCCATTTTATTTAATGTATTGCAACTTAATACAAGAAAATAAAAAAGAACGTAAAGTACTAATATTCTTTCATTATCTAACTGACGGACTAATTAGATTTTTAATTTTGATACCATGGAAACTACCCAATTCTTTGTAGCGAACATGTTAGAGATACTTAAAATAATCTAGTCGTTATTGGTCGGTAGGTGCATTTCTCACCCTGTTTGCCCGTCATCCTCTACTTAAAAATGTTAGCGACTTACATAATTATTGGGACACTATTGACCGTGTTCAACAACCATTCTTAAACCATCTTTTAACTAAGAGTTACTTAGCATGAACACCTAAACTAATTCCTTACTTTTTTTTGGGAGAAGCCGGTAAACGAGCAGACGGATCGCTGTCAAGCAATCGGCGTCGCCCATGGACACCTGGAACAACTGGGGCGTTTCCGACCTTTTGGGAATTAGGAATTTGAGATTTATACCTACTATATTGCACACACAGAAAAAAATGTATAAATTGTAATAGTAATTAGATTGATTGAGGATGGTTGGGGATTCAGGGATTGGGAAAGGGGGATAGGGGTAATTGGGCCTCCGGGAACCTCACTCACGCGACGAAACATAACGTAAGCGTTGTTTCACGTCGGTTTTCTATGAGGCCGTGGTATCACTCCGGTCGAGCCGGCCCATTCGTGCCGATGCATGGCGAGCTCACACTGTCTCACTTAAATTGGAGAAAATAAAAGTTGTTATATATAAATAAATGTTATCTTAGAGTCAACAATTCTCAAAATCCCAATCTCCAAAAGGCCGGTACCGCACTGATAACGCCTCTGGTGTTCCAGGTGTCCATGGGCGGCGCCGATTGCTCACCATCAGGTGATCTGCCCGCTCGTTTACCGGCTTATGCCATAAATATTGAAATGTTTATTGTGACACAATAAGTGTTGTAACATCCGCCGTCTAAGTGTGAGCGGTACAGACATTTATGTCACAATATTAAAATTTGTATTGTAGGCTACACTATGTAATCTTTTTCGTTTTCGTCCCGCGTCGAAACAATTTGGCCATAATGAGTACTTTCGATGTATAAAGTAAAACCAAGAAAATAAGGATGTAATTTTTTTTAGTCAATAAAAAGTTCTTGGATATACGCACATGAACGTCACTATTCGCATCGCACGTGTCACCCGACGAGAAATACCTCTTCGACAATGACATGGCGTGATGTATTGATAATGTACTATGAGTTCGTGCGCTCTCGAAGTTTGCTTCTTGCAATGGTTCACCAGTTGTTTTTATTTGTTTGTAAAACTATTGTATTACTGAGACAGAACCATTTTACTTCGGGACGAAAACGAAATAGATTTCACGGTGTATTCGTATCTTTAGGGATACTTAACGTTTTCAAGAGGTTCGTGGACACGGGAATGTGTCTTGAAATAAATGCTATGATTGTACAGTAACCGGCTGATGAAGCAACTCCAATCTGTCTTATTCATTGGATTTTCGACTTAATGTCATTGCAACTAAGCTGAAGATGAAACATAGAAAATTGATAGAAAATGATAGGTTGAACTACAGGTTATTGTACTAAAAGAAAATCGCTATAAATATAATTATATTGGTAAATAATAAATTGGACGAAATTATAGTTCAAATAAATTGATACTTAAAATTATAAATATACCCAACCGATTATTCAGTTTGCAGGCAAAGAAACAAATATTGATTCAGTACAGAGACAGTAGCTGTTGTTATAGTTAATTGTACGCTTTGTAACGATACCATATCTTTTGTAACTCAGTCGGCTCTAGACAACCAATGGTTACTGTTTCAGTACTAAATCAATACTTATTTTCTTACCTGTGCCTCAGCCAAACGCTACTTTAGCGCTTGTCTACAGAGAGAGTAGAAAACTAAATGTATGGGGATGACACTGACAAGTGTCAAAATTTACGTCAATTCCATATAATTTGGTTTTCTAGTCTACGTGTAGACAAGCGCTAAATGGCATTTGGCTACAGCTGCTGGATAGTAAATAACTTGGTTGGCTGTACAAAAATAATATCGTATGTAAAATAAAATGAAGAATCTAAAAATTGTTATTGATGTGATATAAAGTATTATATTATGATATTTATATTTATATGTTAAGAGTTTAATATTGTTATATGATATATAATTATACAACATGTTGTGAAACCACCGTCCCACATATACACGGTGTAAATGGATCGCCGAAAAACCGATACGTGCTGGTGGAAAGAAACAAAGAAGAAAGACAAACCATTTATTTTTGCGCAAAACACACATAACATAATTAAAAAATAAATAAAAATAAAATAAAAAAAGCTAAAAAATTAAAATGAAGTGAAGTCTTGTCCATGGTCCACAGACTTATTATTTTACTGAAATGATAGAATATTTAATATCTAATATTATCTGTGGACCATAGACAAGGAACACCCTACTTACTTCATATTACTAAGTTGCATGCATTTCAACAAGAAAACAAGTTTTATTTAATAATAGTAAGGAATTCAATGTTTCTTTAATGTAATAATAGTTGTAATCAACTGCTCAAGTCTGATGTTGCATGAATAACACGGAAACAAAAATCGGGTGGGGCTGTGCCGGGCATACGGCCGTTGGTGACTGGAAACGTCTATGTTAGCGATACACGCTAGATTATGAGTTATGGTTATAACTGTGCATGCAAAACCGACAAGCATAACTGAGCACCGACGCACCGATACCTACAGTTTAAGGGTTCATACGCACTATGCGGGTAGCCGCATTACGGCTAGCCGCGCGGCTTACCGCAGGATGCGGTTGCGAATGCGGCCAGACGGATCGCGGGCAGCCGCAGAACCGCCATTTGCGGTCATGTAGATCCATTTCAAAGATGGCCGTGGAAGAAGTTTCAGCTATTTACTACATTTACACACGTTACATAAAAAAGAAAAAACAAAAAAAGAAGTACTGGGTGCGTCCTTATATGCAAACACGAGAGAGCAAGCATCGAATTCCATTTTACCAGACGTAACACGTACACACACTCAATGGCGGGCAGCCGCAGACTGGATTGCACAGTGCGTATATCAACCGTCCGGCTGGCCGTCACTCGGGCCGCAGCCCTCCGAGCGACCGGAGCGGCCTGCGGGTAGCCGCATCGCAGTGCGCATAGAAATGAATATTACGTAGATAATTGTGCTTGCGGTCAGCCGGACGGCTAGCCGCAATGCGGCTACACACTCTAGGGCTTGCCTGTCAGTTATGCATGCACGGCTAAAACC